AAAAACAGAACTGCTGATGTTTCTTCTATTTGATAGTGTGGAGGAACTGAGTTAAGTTTTGTTTTGATATTCTGTAAAATCTTACATTAGCTTTTATCTTTGAAATTCATATACCATCAATTTAATTTCTCTGATGTTGTTCTTAAAATTAATGTGTTAGTGGTGATTGGTTGAATAGTATAATACTCTAACAGACTCTTAACCCAATGGACATTTTTTCCCTTTCCAAACAGACCTAATCAGGTGTTCAGATAGGGAGTAGGGGGAGATCTTGGTTCTCTGCCATTCAGGTTCTAGGGGTTCCTGGGTGTGACTGTCATCTCGTAGCATCTCATCCTTTGTCCACACCCAGTCAGCACAGGGGAGGAATAGAGTGATGGGACCAACAGAAAGTGGCAGGTATCACTGCTGCTCATGTTAGGAGCTTGAACCTCCAGGCAGTTGGGAACCATGTCCCACTGTAGGCCCAGTGAGCAGTAGAATAAATTCTTGAGGACATTCTCCAGGACCAACTGAGAAGTTTCTGTGGCTCTGTATATTGCACTTAGAATAAGCATGGTCTATTTTCCATGAATATTTCTTTAGAATTTGCTAGTGTGTCAAATTAAGTTTTTGATATTTCCGTAGCAGAAAAGGGGGGTATTAGTTTCCATGTGAGGCTTGAATATGCCCAGAGAATCCTGCCAACTGAAGTATTAGTACTTTCTGAGATAGCAAAATAACGTCTTTTCTTTATAGATCTTTCCTATGAAATATTTCTCAAGGAAGAGAGAAATGGAACTTTCACTTAAATGTTACAGCTTATGTCGAGATATCTCATTAAAACCTCATGCAATCATGGGGTACTTTTCAAAGGTGACTGGATCTACAGTGTGTGGTTACTAAATCAGCCCACTGACTTGTTTGGCCTAATTCTGGCTAGGATTAAGGGTGTAAGTACCACACCCACGTAGCCTGCATGCAACATAAGGGACTGAAAGAAGGCTAATGTGCTCTTGCCTGCCTGCTTGTATTGGGCTATTTCTTCTCTATGATCCCCTCTACTATGGTGCCATGCTTTAGGGCCAGCCAACAGTAGACTGAAACCTCTGCAAAGTGTGAGACAAATAAAACTTTTCTCCTTTAACTTTGGTGTCAGGTATTTTATCCTAGCAATGACAAAAATAAAACATTAAATTTGAGAGATTTTTATAAAATGGCAACATGATTTCCATGGTCGACTGTCTGTTACTCAGTTATCATCCTTGAGCACAGAGTCTGAATCAGACTTGCCTCACAGGATTCCCAAGAGGAATCTTGTCCCAAGCAAGGACATATTTCCTGAATCCTGCTACTGTCTGACACATGCCTCCTTCGACTCTTTAGATTCCTAAGGAGAACAGAACCTAGCCAGGCAACATGGATCTGCTCAGACCTTTCAAGATCAGGAGTTTCACTTGTAAATTTTTTTAACAGTTTTCCAGAAATATAATTCATAGGCCATGCAGTTCACCCATGTAAAAGGTACAGTTCATTGGCTTTTCACACATTCAGAGTTGTGAACTGTCAGCACAATCAGTTTTAGAACATTTTCATTACTATGAAAGGAAACTAGAATTCCTAAGTCATCTTATATTCCCCTCCCGAGCTCTCCAGCTGCCCAGCCTACTTTCTGTTTCTATGGTTAAGCCTGTTTAGATATTTTATATAATATGTTGTCCTTTAGTGATTTCTTTCACTTGTGTATTCAAGATTCATCCTTATTGTATGTATAAACATTTCTTTTTCTATTGAAGAATAATATTCTGTTGCACAGACATACCATATTTTCCTTATCCATTCATCAGTTTATAAATTTTTAGATTGTTCCCATTTAGGGGCTATTAGGCCTAAGGCCACTGTGAATGATCTTATGCAATTTCTGTGTAGATGTTTTTATTTCTCTTTAGTTATCTACGTAGGAATTATCCTGTATTGGGAATGTATGTCTCACATTCTGAGGCATGGCACATAGAAATGATAGACTGCTCATAAAAACTTATTTAGGGAACCAGGGTCTAGTGTTTTTAGTTTTTAGCATATTTGGATCTACCCCCTGCTTCCATGGTCTCTTTCTGTGATTTAGCACTTTTGCGTTGCCTTCTGGGGGAGACAGTTCTCCCGCATGGCATGGCCCATCAGTACCTTCAGTACCCACCCCAGCCATGCCTCCCATTCTGTAGTCCTCTGAGAAAGCTTGGGTATTGGAGATATTTAAACCTGAATGTTATGCCTAACAGCTATGGTGTCCCAGCGGTTTCTAGAGAAGACTTAGCCAGCAATAGTGAAGTAAGGCAGGCACGCGAGAGAGCTCCCTCGGCTGTGGAGCTACAGGGCACCCTCCCTGATGTGGCCTTCTTCGGCACCTCACATGGTCCTTGCTGAGCACACAGAGATGCTCAGTAAGCATTTGACGAAGTATTGCTATGAACTTTACCATCAAGATGGGGAATTGTAGCTCTCAGAGTTATTTTACTATCTGGCAACATATGACTGGAGCCACCTTTACAGCCAGAATCATCCATGCATTTATTCGACAAATATGTGGTATTAATGTCTGCTAGTGCAAGGCATTAGAGACCCCAGTAGTACAAGTATGCATAGATTTTTTTCCTTAATGTGTACCTATAAATACATACCTAAATCATGAAATAACAATACAGCAGAAGTACCAGCCTTCAGAACAATGAGGAGGAAAGCCTGAAACATTCTTGCTCTCAAATCAGAGAATATACAAAACCATACACATCCACAGCGTATTTCCAACTCTAGTACCTGGCTGAAATATGTTTGTATATGCCCAATTGTTAGGTGTTTGTGGGCATCTTTAGTCACCAGGTGATTTTAAATATAAACATCACAGTAGTACACATTTAATTCCGCTGATGAAAGTACACTACTCATTTAGGGGTGGGAACGTATTTTTTAGATCACTTGGGTGCCACTTGATAAGGTCTTAATGTATCTCTACAAATGAGCTCTGCTTTCTATTTTAGGATTAGGAACAGGGAAATAGGAATCAAAAAGCACTCATTTCTTAAAAGTTTCTCTCACTGTCAAACATATATGTCATATTTGGACTTTACAGAGGCACAAATTATGCATTTTAAATTACAAGTTTATAATTTCTTTTTTCTTTTTTGGTACTGGGGATTGGACCCAGGTCCTTCTCACTGCCTTACATTCTCAATCTATCTTTCTTTCTTTCTTTCTTTCTTTCTTTCTTTCTTTCTTTCTTTCTTTCTTCATTTAGAAATAGGGTCTTACTAAGTTGCTAGTTGCCTAGGCTAACTTTGAGTTCATAGTCTTAGTTCCTTGTCCACACAAAGTGCTGTGCTTACTGGCATACTTCACCACACCCAGCTAAAATTTCTTACTTTAGCACAAGGATTTAAAATTCATCAGCCTTCAAAGGTAAGAGGTCTGTTTTATTGTTACGTCTGTGGTTCCTTATAAAGATGAGAGTGGATGTAGGTACCAGATGTATAGTTAGCATTTTGTTGTGATTGCTGAGTGGCACTAGTGTGTGGAGGGTGTTTACATGAGTACTGAAAGAAAGTGGACTGGCTCCTAACTGGCCTCGCCTTGAAGGAATTCATCATATCCTATTGCAAATGCAGCTCATCCACCCTCCCCAGGTTCTGGGCTGGTGAAGTATCCTGCATGGTGTTCTCCTAGCCCACAGTGAGGAGGCCGGGGAAACCAGTGAGTGCTGATGTCTGCCGCACATCTTCAGGAACAGATACTCCAATGAAGAATCAGAGAACACTGAGCGTGCTTGGAAGGCAGCAGGAGGACTGTGGTAGGGGCCCTAGTAGGAAGCAGGAAGGAACAGCATGGTTTCTCCAAGGAGGTGATGCTTGGGCTGAATCTTGAATGACTTACAGCTAGCCAGAAAGATGAAAAGTGCCCTGGCAATGGAAGTAACAGTGTTATACAAGGGTGAAGGACTCTGATGATCTGGGCCCTTATTGTTAGTGCAGATATTTTTATACTATTTAGGAAAGTCTGAATTAGTTAAGAAAACTAAAGATAAGCATGCCCTGTGACCTAGCATTTCTCTCTTTGGATTTACCAGCTTGAATGCAGAAAGATGTAAGTGCCTGAATATTTTTTGCAGCAGCCTTGTTAACATAGGAAATACTCAATAAAATGAAGTATATCTTGAATGCTACATAGCTGGTGAGGAGAAATGAGGTAGCTTAATATATCTAACATAGTAAGAATCCCCTAATATGTTAAGTGGAAGGAAGGGAAAATTCATATTTCAAAATGCCACACTTAAGATTCAGTTTTTGTTTAGAAATTATTTATAGCAAGGAGCTGGGGGTGTAGCTAAGGTAGAGTGCTTGCTAAGCACATTTGACCTCTAGCACCACAAAACAAACAAACAAACAAACAGAAAACCAGAAAAAAAAACATTCATTGTTAAAATGAGAATGTGCTTAGGAGAAGAAAGACAATGTTGGAAGCATATAAACCAGAAAAAATATTGATTGCCTTTGAGGGATGATATAAGGCATTAATATATATTAATGACATTCGAGTCTTGTGTGATTAATGTATAACATAATAATTAGGTAAAAATCAAGAAAGAAAACAGGTAGGTATAGATAGAGCTGAATGATATATTGCGATAGGTCACGGCCAGTTAACTTCCTTACACAGAGTGATAATATAATAATTTCTGACACTACATTTTAATTTACCTTCTAGGATTCTGTGGTAGAGTAAACCCAAATAAATGGAAAATTTAAATCTCCTTGTATCTTTCTGTTAGGGTTTTCTGGCAAAATAGAGAAGCAAAGGAAAGATAAAGTGGCCTTTACTAAGGACTCAGAGAGGAGCCTACAACCCATGGGGGTTTGGCTCTGACCAGATAGAGAAAGCAAAGGGTTATATGACCTCTGATCAGAAGTGCCACATGGGACAGGCATTGATGATGTATGAAGAACTGATTGTAATTTTCTTCACACACCCAGGAAAGGAAGTTGTAATTAAGGCTGAAGGGGAAGAAGGAGGAAGTTGTTACGAGGGTAAGCATTTTTGCTTTGGCCTTCCACCATGTTAGACTGCCGCCATAATGTACAATAATCTACACTAGGACAGGAACCTTTCTTTCTTGTCTTTGTTTTGTTAGGAAAGGGAAAAGACTCTCTTACTACTTCCTTCTGGATGGGGGTGTCATGTTGGGGTTTAGGAGGGGTTGATAGGATGACAATTGATGCCCATGCAGAAGCTGGTACGAGATGTTTCAGCCAGGACAAGGAGTTTATTGTTGATGAATGTTTGCACCATAGACTGGAGAAATAAAAAGACAAGATGTATGAGGAGGCAGGTCTCTATCATAATTAAAGGACCCAGGAGAGATAGAAGTAAAGGTGCCATGATTGAATATATGGTTCCATCAGAATCATGGTGAGGAAGAATCTGAAAAATGAGCTTAAGAGTTGAGAGGGGTGAAGGGGTGAAGTTATAGGAAGCAATTATTCCCCAATCCGAAAGGGTAAAAGTAAAAGTGTAGATAGGACTTGTCCTTGGTCCAGGGATTGAGCTGGAGAGAATGGTAAGCATGAGAAATGTAAGGCTTGATAATTAAATCATGTTTGGGAAATTATATACCAGGGGTGGGGAGGGCTGTGGCTGTGTCACTATAAGTGAGACAGGAGCCCAGACCCAGAGGGCTCTCATGTTTAGCTAAATGGCTGATGGTGGAAAGAACTAAGATAGTTATTATGTAGAAAAGTATGGCAGCAGTTTTACATAAAACGTGGGAGTCTTTAGGAAAGACTGCCCAGAATCTTACAGTGAAAAAAATAACTAATAGAATGTAAGGGATAAGGAACCAAATAGGAGAAGAAAACATGGCTTAGTCTGAAAGTTGTGGCTGTGGGCCCTTGGTGAGACAGAGACAAGTGGGAAATAGGAGATGTGATGACTACTCAGCATATTTAGAGTCAGGGAAGTTAGGGCACTGCTTACCTTGAGTGACATGGAACCAGAATGGCAGGCCAATGACCTTGATCACCATTGGAGTTTCAAGGATTACTAGGTAAGGCCCACTCCAATTTGGTTGCAGTCCTGTGGAGTTAGGAGATGTAAGCTAAATTAGGTCTACTGAGGATATAAGAGGATCTGGTTTGGTCCCATCAGAGGGTTTGGGAAGACAGAGATTGGCATGTTGTTGCAACAAGTGTTGGAGGAAGGAGAGAATTGGATTGTAGTCTGCAAGAGGAGGGAGACTTTGGGATCTAGGAAGATTGTGGAGTAGGTATGGTCAGCCATACATGAGTTCAAACAGACTTAGAAAAGTAGGATCCCAGGAAAGTGCTCTGAGCTTGGCTAAATAAAAATGGGGGAAGAAATTGAGGCCAAGGTTGGTGCATCTCTTAAAATGAGTTTTTGTGAGGTGTGTTTTTATGAGGCCATTTGCCTTTTCTATTTTTCCTGAGGATTGTGGATGGTATGGAATGGGTAGACACCAGGAGTGATTTGAGAAATAACGGTTGGACCATTATCTGACTAGATACTCTGAGGTAGACCAGACCTAAGAATAATTTGTAACAGGACTTTAGTAACTACGTCAGCAGTTTCCCTGGTTCTGGGAAAGGCTTCTATCCATCCTGAAAAGACAAAAGTAAGAATATATTTAAGAGTTTTGAGGCAGGGCATGTGTGTAAAATCTATCTGTCAGTCCTGACCAGGAGTATATCCACAAAATTGGTAAGTAAAAAAAGGGAGTGGAATATGTCCCTTAGGAGAGGTTTTAACACAGAGATGACAGGTGTGGGCAATCTGAAGGATGATAGCCCTCAGAAAAGGATGTATGACTACTGGGGCTAAGAATCTGTATAGGGCCTGTGATCCCACATGGAAACACTGACTTGTGAAAGTCAGCGATGATGTCTAAGGCCTTATCTGGGAAACAAGTTCTGATCCTTGGAAAAATCCATCCGAGTGTTTTGTATGTAACCTGGTCTATGAAGCAGTTATATTTGTTTTGGTAATTAGGCTGAGGTCGAGTGTTTGGGACTAATGGGAGAAGATGAAAAGGACATGGCCTTTGTGCAGCTAACTTGGCTTGTGTATCAGCAAAGGCATTGCCCTGAGCAATGGGATCTGCAGAATTCTGATGTCCCCTACAATGAATAACTGGTGCTTGTTTTGAGAGTTGGTCTGCTTCTAGGAGTTTAAGGATGAGAGGTATACTAATGATAGAGGTTCCCTGAGTGTTGTTGATAAAACCTCTTGCCAGATGACAGCATGGGAGTGTAAAATGCTAAATGTGTACTTTGAATCAGTGTATATATTTGTGATCTTGTCCTTTGCTAGTGTAAGAATTTGTGTTCTTACAAATAAGTTCTTCACTTTGTGAAGATGGCCCAGGTAGCAGTGGATTAATCTCTGTGATTCTTGACTGTTCATTGCATATCCTGCTCTTTTCCGATTGTCTGTATTTGTTGAACTACCATTTGTGAACCATGTGTCATAGGCTAAAGAGAGAGGTGTGCTACTAATCTGAGGGAAAACGGTAAGAGTTATCTGTAAGACTTCAATACAGTCATGGTGAGGGTGGTCTTCTGAGGTGGGAAGCCAAGTTGCTGGGTTGAGAGACTACTAGTTGTAGAGGTAGAAAGGTCCTCCCAGAAACTACTAGCAACAGCAGTAGAAGGGTCCTGAGAGAGGATTAGATGTACCTGTTGAAGGGGAGAAGGGGTCATCCGGGCAGAGAGTGCCTTATGTGAGATAAGCTCATTTGGATGATGATGTGAGTATACTGTAATAGATTGTCCTGACAGGAACTTTTTAGCTTCCTGTGTCAGTACACAGGGCTGCAGCTGCAAGGGCTTGGAGGCATCCTCTCACTTTGTTGTCCAGCTGTTTTGACAAGTAGGCTACAGCTTGAAAAGAAGGTTCTTTTTTGTGTTTTGGTACACCTACAGCATTGTGACCCTGGGAGGTAGCATTCCAAGAGAAGGATTAGGTGGGATCAGGAAGGGTAAGGGCTGGGGCCTTTAAGAGAGACTCTTTTAGCTTTCAAAAGGAAGCATTGTGTGAGCATCGTGGGATCTGGAGACTCTTATATGGAGCCCTTGGAGGCTTTGTAGAGGGGTTGGACTAGAGCTGCAAAGTTAGGAATCCAGAGATGAAAGAAGTTAGCTAAACCCAGAAAAAACAGAACCTGTTGTTTGGTTGTAGGCATCTGAAGATCTCAGAGAATTGCCTTGTGATCTGTAGTGATAGAACGAGTGGTGGGAGTGAGAGAGAGAGAGAGACCCAGATATTTGACCTTTGGGGTAGCTACTTGGGCTTTTAGCAGGAGAAACCCTGTACCCATGACTGGAGAGAAAATTGAGGAGACTGGCTGTATATTGTGTGGCTAAAGTATGGGACAGAGAACACAGGAGAAGGTCACCAACGTATTGAAGAAGAATGCTAGGTTTGAGGTCAAGAGCTGTAAGGTCAGCAGCAAGAGCTTGGCTAAAGAAATCAGGACTGTCTCTGAACCCTTGGAAGAGCACCATCCAGGTAAGTTGTTGAGACCTGAGAGTGTCTAGGTCAGTTCACATAAACACAAAGAAATCCTGACAATCAGAGTGTAGAGGGATGGTGAAAAATAAAAAGCGTCTTTAAGGAATAGGATTGTGAAGTTAGTGGTAAAAGGAAGAATATGAGATAGCATAGTATAAGGGTTTGGCACCACTGGGTGAAATGGGGTAACAGCGTCATTGATCACCCTAAAGTCTTGTACCAGACAATAGGACCCATTAGGCTTGAGTACAGGGAGAATGGGAGTATTGTAGGGTAAATAGGTATGTTTGAGAAAACTATTGTCTAAAAGATGCTTGATTATAAGTTTGAGCCATCATAGATATTTGGGAGCTATAGGATATTGGGAAATGCAAGGAAAGATTGAAGGATCTCTAAAATGAATAAAAATGGGTACAGCATGTGTAGTGTGGGTAGGGTTGGAGGTGTCCCAGACTATGGGATCAACAAGGGAAGAAGGGAGAGGAGAGGATGGGTTTCTGGCACATTGTGATGGTGTTTGGAGGATGAGAGCTGTGGGGAGGAAGAAGGTAAAGGAGCTTTTGGAAGTTAAGCTTTTGGAGCAGATACCTACCTAAAAGGGATGTGGGACATATTAGTATTACCAGAAAGCTGTGGGTAAAGAAGAGAATTTGGAGACTGAGGGTTTAACACAATAGCCTGAAAACTCAGGAAGAACACTAAACGTTGCCCCCAGTGTCTACAAGTACGGAGAGTGTCTTATCTGAGACATCCAGTGATACTCAGCGCTCCAAGAAGGATGCCTTAATGGGAGCTGTGGGCCCCAGGCCCTGTCAATCTTCAGCAGCAAGCCCAAGTAGATCAGCTAGCAGTAAATCTGGTGATGACAAGATCTCCTGTGAAGGTCAAAGAATTAGAAGATGGCTTACCTGCTCTCTGATGGCTAGAATAATTGGTCTTCCATTGGCCCTTGAGACTGCAGAGGGGGCAGGGCCCCAAAAGAACTTGTGGATTGGAGCACTCTTGCCCAGTATCCTTCCTTGTTGCACTTGAAGCATGGTCCAGGAGGGGACCTGCCTCAGGCAGATCTGCCTTGTTTTGGTTTACCTGTCTTGGGAGCCCCAAGTGCCATGCTAAAAGATCAGATTGATATTTAGCAAGTTTCTTTTTTATGCCTCTTTTTTCTCCTATTGAGTTCTGTCTCTGTTGTTGAAAACACGAAAAGCCATAATAAGAAAGTCTCTGTGTGGGGTTTGAGCGCCAAGTTCAGCCTTTTGTAGTTTCACACTAATGTCAGGGGCAGACTGCGAAATAAAATAAGAGTTAATAACAATTGTCCCTTCTTTAGAATCTGGGTTTACGTTAGTAAACTTAATTAGGGCATCCCTAAGACAGGTTAGGAACATAACATGGTTTTCGTTAGTCTCTTGGACCTTTTCTAAAACCTTGTTATAGTTAGTATGCTTGTGAGCTATGTTATTAAGACCCACAATTATACATTCAATCATCTTATGTACTTTATAAG